CCTCTTCTTTTTTGGCGATGGCCTTTGGCCGTACGGGGTCGACCTCTTCTTTTTGGCGATGACTTTTGGCCGTAAGGGTTGACCTCCTCTTTTTGGCGATGACTCTTGGCCTTAAATGGTGTTATTTCGAGCTTATCGAAATGTTAATCCGTTGTCATTTGATCGAGGTCAAACTCTTCTTCTTTGGCGAAGGCCATTGGCCTTAAAGGATGTTATTTCGAACTTTCGAAATGTTAACCCGTCGTCGTTCGATCAATGTCGAACTCTTCTTCTTTGGCGAAAGCTCTTGGCCTTAAAGGGTGTTATTTCGAACTTATTAAATGTTAACCCATCATCGTTCGAGCGAGGTCGAACTCTTCTTCTTTGGGGAAGGCCCTTGGCCTTAAAGAGTGTTATTTCGAACTTATCGAAATGTTAACCCGTCGTCGTTCGATCAAGGTCGAACTCTTCTTCTTTGGCGAAGGCCCTTGGCCTTAAAGGGTGTTATTTCGAACTTATCGAAATGTTAACCCGTCGTCGTTCGATCAAGGTCGAACTCTTCTTCTTTGGCGAAGGCCCTTGGCCTTAAAGGGTGTTATTTCGAACTTATCGAAATGTTAACCCGTCGTCGTTCGATCAAGGTCGAACTCTTCTTCTTTGGCGAAGGCCCTTGGCCTTAAAGGGTGTTATTTCGAACTTATCGAAATGTTAACCCATCGTCGTTCGATCAAGGTTGAACTCTTCTTCTTTGGAGAATGCTCTTGGCCTTAAAGGGTGTTTCCTGGGGGAGTCCCAATTTGCTTAATTTTGCTTGCATTGGAGAATATGATGCATTTCCTGGGGGAGTCCCAATTTGTTTAATTTTGCTTGCATTGGAGAATATGATGTGTTTCCTAGGGGATTGCTCCTGCTTCTATTCCACTTAGAGAAATAGTCAGTTAAAACAAAATAAAAGCGTTCGTTACCTCGATTTGATCGGGTCGACGAGTGGAAAGGAGTGACCATATTCCCTTCTCTGGTTATGCTTTCAGTGGCAGCTACCAATTTTGGCGTGGCTGTCCGCTTTAGTAAAGTTTTTTGTTGTACAAATAGCATATTATCTGATAGAGGAACAGTTGGGGAAGAAGAGGGCACCAGTTGACCATATCTCACTTGTGCGCCTTCTTGTAGATCCACGCTATTGTGGTACTATGTCCCTATTCAGCTTCTATTTACCTTTCCTCATATGGTGGCTGCTTGTACTGGACTTCAATTGTGTATGACAAAAGCAAAGGGCTTATATCACTAGCATATGCTCTTGAAACCGCAATGATAGTCGCTTTGGGCAATTCCTCAAAGGTCGTCGCCGAATCGGCGTAGTGACGAAGCGAATGCATCGATGACATTGCTGATGCCGACACGTTCTCTATCAGTTTCTCCGTCGACGTTGCTACAAATCTTGAGTTAATTTCAGATTATCCAATCATAAGAAACTCCTTTGGCATTTAAAGAACACAGAAGTTGTACGAATATTCTCTTATACGAATAGTATATTAAAAATTTGAAGCTTCTCCTTAAAACTTGTATGTCCCATAAGAGAATAAATAGTAGAATATCCAACGTAAGTGGAGTATATGCTAAAACAGCCCCCAAACACTTGTCAGAGGTATCAAACTCATATCCACAGATTATTCCTTATATCAAATGATAATCAAAACCCAATTATTATGACCATCTTATACGGATAGTATATTAAAAATTTGAAGCTACAAAAGCGAAAAAGAGTTTACGAAAGTTATTTCGTCTTTCCATGTTATGGTAGACAACCGTACTAGGAAATATCTACCATGAACAGAACGTGGAACTGGAATTGAATTCTAGATCTAGAGAAAACTAAAATTATAACTAGAAAATCCCCACAGACGGCGCCAAATTGTTCGACTCAAAAGATATTAAAACTTTTTTGAACAAATCAATCAAAGATGAAGGGGTAAATCCTAGTTAAAGATAATTAACTCTAGATCCGAGATGAATAATATGAATAGAAAAACATAGCCGAGTATAAATATTGGCCGTGATTATGGCCAGATTTAATAGCATAAAGAAAGGTGCATTAAGTAACATTAAATGGCAATAAAATGTAAATAAAGGAAAAGATTCACCAAATCTTGAGTGGAGCGGATTCTCTTTCGTTTGATAAAGACGAATGATAATAGATACATGAACCTTAATACCCTTTTTAGATCTGATGAAGGTCTGGGATCACAGATCCTCTAATTTCTTTAAAGAAGTATGTTTACATATTTTCTAGAGAGAGAGAGGGAGAGCGATCCGGTCCCTTTTTTTGGAAGTCCTCTCTTCCTATTTATAAGGGACATCTATAGAAAATCCTAAAAAAGTACAATTAGAGGGAATATTCAGTAGAATATTCCCTTTGAGGATTCCAAAGCAAACTAGCTATTTCATCACTGTCCTACCTCGGCCTTATTGATGACTGTCCGACCTCGGCTATTGGTGACTGTCCGACCTCGGCCTATCCGACCTCGACCTTATATCTCTGCGTGCCGAATTTCTCTGATCTAATTTTGACCCATAAAATAATGATGAACAATTAGCTAAGCACAATGAAAAACTGGTATCTAGATTACTGGTGTGATTATCCTGCTCTATTGTTAATCAATTGATCAACTGTAACACTAAATAGTGAATTATCATGCTTTCCTACTGGTGAATTTTAGTAGTTGCTGTCTAAATTGATATAATTGGATTTCTAATATTGGTGCTGGATTGCACATGTATAACGTCTGAATTTATATCTTGACTTATTTCTTGATGTTGATCTATTTGTCATTGGGCAATAAGGCTAATCACCACAAGGAGTTCGCTAGCTTGTTTAGTAATGGCGTGCTCTGCCGTCCCAAGTGATTTGGATTCTTATCATTTCTGAGGACAGTGGAACTAGTAAAATATCTTAAGAGAAAGTCCTCTAAGTAATTTTACTAAAGACTGCGGAACTAGTGAAATATCTTAAAGAGAAACTAGGCAGAAGTTAAAACTGAAGAATAATCAAAATAGCATTGATAAAACCAAACAACCGTGGTCGACATTTTACAAGCCACAAAAAGTGCGTAAAATACAAAAGAAATTCAAGGCCAACAAATGATAATCACTACTTAAGTGCTACCATAATGCTGGGTAGATACAGCATTATTAATGAGGAGAGACTAGTTCAAGTGCTGGGGTTGTTGTAATAGGAGTTCCAAGTATCGAGAACATGAGCTCGCAGAACTTGCTGGTGATAGAGAGAAGCAACCAACGCTCCGACAAAGGGTCCAACCCAAAAGATCCACTATGAAAACAGATAAAGGGAAATATTATGAGACTAATTAGATCTATTGAACTTTAAAAGACACTTTGAATTAGAACTGTCATAAGTAGTACTTATAAACACTTACATGGTCATTCCAAGCTGTGCTATTGTTGTAAATGACAGCAGCTCCAAAACTCCTAGCAGGGTTGATCCCAGTGCCAGTTATGGGAATAGTGGCCAAATGAACCATAAACACCGAGAATCCAATTGGCAATGGTGCTAGTACCTTTGGAGAAACAAAGAATGTTTTATAATTTATTACATTAATATTGATCATTATGATTTAGACATTTAGTGCTCCTGCAGTCCAAAAAATACAACAGAGGGAGATAAATTTTGTTTTTGACTGGAACTTCATAAGTTTTCAGATCCAATCCCCGATCCTTATGCATCTCTTAACCTTGTATTTTAATTTTATACGTTATCAGTGCACAAAATTTAAATTTTTTCTAAATTAGGGTTGACACTTACGGGGACGTGAGAATCACGCGCTTTGCTTTTGGCGTCAGTGGCGGAGAAGACGGTATAGACAAGGACGAAAGTGCCAATGATCTCAGCACCCAAGGCTGTGCCGGTTGAGTAGCCAACTGCAACGGTATTAGCACCGCCGCCATACGTGTTATAGTCATGCTTCATGAACCCTTTCACTAA